TATATATATATATATATATATATATATATATATATATATATATGTTCTAGTTTCAAATTTTCAAGAATTGCGAGTATGAGTTAAGCCTACGTTGGGATGGAATTCAGATCGCCGTTATGATTGGTTTATACTAAGTCGATTAGGCTAACTCCTATCCTTACAACTGAGTAAACTTCGTTCAAAAACATAGAATAATTTTATCAAATATGCAGTTATTTTTGGCTAATTGGAATGTCATTACTACTACTAATCTGCCGTTATGACAAGCCAAACCCAGTCCTTTGCTGGTATAATTTACGAACTCGGTAATTCTTTAACATTTGCCACATGAGCCAGCCCGGCATCTTGAAATGTATAAAAAAAAAAGTCATTCTGGAAAAGTTTCGGTTGTTTTGATTAGACAAAAAAGTAGACTTTTGGCACTATTTTCGAGGTCTAGGTCGCTAGACCTGACTCAAGACCACGAGAGCCAGCATGGAGAAGTTAATATAAATGTTTGTTTGTTTGTTTTTTTAATTTCGCGCAAAATTACACGAGGGCTATCTGCGCTAGCCGTTCCTAATTTAGCAGTGGCTACTCTTTTACCAACGAATAGTGGGATTGAACGTCACATTATAATGCCCACACGGCTGAAAGGGCGAGCATGTTTGGTGTGACGGGGATTCGAACCCGCGACCCTCAGATTGCGAGTCGAGCGCCCTAACCACCTGGCCACGCCGGACCATTTTTTAAAATAAATATAAAGTAAAATGATGTAGCTATGAAATATGCTTGAAATGTTCTAGATGTGGTTGTGACTGTGGTGGTTTAAGTGTAGCGATTAAGCTAAACCATTGGTCCAGATCGGATGATGTAAGAACTTAATCGAAGATATCCCAATCGATTTGACATACCAGCTGAATCGGAGGTTCGGTAATTGATTACTGTATTGACAGCGAAACAAAACGAAAAACGAGCACAATCGTATCGTTATCTTCAAAAATGGGGATTGGAATTATATTCAATAAATCATTAGTTTCAGTATTTTGTGAAACTAACGGTACAGTAAAGCCGAAAGATGCAGTGTTGAAGTTTGAAGCAGATACATTACAAGATTAAAAATGTTATTTCTGCAATGAAAAGTAAATATAAGAAAGACGGTATAATGCCCAGTATGGTACCACCATAATGTAATCCATATAGACTTCATTATGTCATCTATTTTTTAATATATATATATTTTTCGAGATCTATCGAAATAACTCTAAATTACCGGTTTCCGGAATGACCCCCTCCCGTTGACCATCCTAGGCTCAGTACTAAAAGATGCTGGGCTGGCTCATATGGCAGGTGTTAATTCCAAATATGCATGATAATTCTGTACTATTTCATGTTATAACGTTACCGAATGAATAAGAATTGTAATTCCAAAGTTACCCAAATCAAAGTATCTTATTTCAATACAAAACACGCTAACTAATGATTATGATGTGAACGCCTTTTTTGAGCTGGCGAAGCATGATTATCAGTAATTATAATTGTCATAAGACGTTAGTAGTAGGCTTATTATATTTTTAAGCACTATATTTTTTATCCTGTCCATAAGTACTAATGTCCTATGACAATTATAATTAATGTCACAACTAAATGGTTTATTGAAAATTCAGATAAATTTGCGGTTTCCAAAACGAACATACCGTATTTTGTTTTTGTTTTTTAACAAATAATAACTAGAAATTATTTGCCACATTACTATAGATTGAGCGCACAACTGTTACCACATATGAAGATCGTGTTATATTAACTGCAAACAATTTTCAGCAGGGTCAACACCATGGAGGAGACTTGACTGTCCACTTTATATCCTATATCTCCCTCCCACTTTCAGATTTCCAATTGATACAAAAATTTATGACAAATAGAAATCAAAAATTAAAACAAAATACAATTAAAGCTACACATAAAAGTGATAAGTAGCTCAGACATAAATATTTATAATACCTTACTAATAGTACCAATAATTAAGGAAATATTAAACCGGGAAAACTACATTCGCGTGGATTTTCATCATAATACGCTGTCACATAACTTATTAATGTACAGTGACACGTAATAATAGTGAGTACGAGTTAAATGATTTCAGTTAACATTTTCCAAAATCTACTTTCCCCCTCCCCTCTCACGGCGTACACGCTATTGTCGAGTTTGTTTTGGAAAAAAAGTCACATTCGATTGTATACTGTGTCCACCAGGGGCTTTAGCGTTGTAAGTTACTATTATCCCACTGGCGGACCTGACGTCGAGACTGTGTTCTAATATGAGAAAATATCAGTTATAAAAGTAATGTTATTCTTTTATTTTTGTAAAATTACACTTCTGTCGCTTAAGTATGATATTTAGTCGCGGCATAGTGTCTCCTAGAAAGGCTCTGAGTTTTTTGTTTCAAGTACAAACTTTTAGCTCATAGCTCCATCTCTTAACCGATTTGAGATCTAATTACAGTCGCGGCTATTGAGGATTCCCCCTTGTTTTTAGTTATATTATGTAATCAGTTAATCTAACGCCAATTACACTTTCAGTATCTTAAAAAACCCTTTCTCTATTTCAAAAAGAAATTGGTAAAAATATTTTGTAGCTACGATGCTGGTTTACTTTTAAAATGTCAACTCATTTAAAAATAAGTTAATATAGAAATAAACTAAGCTCAGGCACAAACATGTTAGCATAAATTAGAGCTCAGTAAGCTGAAATTAACATAAACTATTAGTTACAAGAAAAAATAAACTAACTTGATGGTATTTGGTATTTTCAACTTGAACGACACCCCATGAGGATAAGCAGCCAGATAAATAGACCCTGATTCTACTGTTAAAAAAACAACAACAACCAGTTAATAGTCTAGCCATTCTTAATCGAAAGGCAGAATTAACTGTCATTTTTGCAACACGTCACACCTGAAAAATGGTAACGTGTTAAAAGGTATATCACGAGCTCAAATTTTGGGCTTTCTGATATTCAGTCGGGCTAGCTATATTCCTAACTAATATTACGTTTTCTCGACATGGAATAGTTTTTTACGCGCTTATTGAAGCTGGGCGTGGCGTAGTGCTAAGCGTGATTTGACTGTAAATCCAAAAGCTCACGATTCCTGTCTTATTGCCGCAAAAACACGCTCCGCACTTAGGGATCTAGGATGCACTATACAATTAACTATGAAATCCCATTATTCAGACAGGAAACAGTTGGCGGTGGGTACTGTTGACTAGGTAACTTCCCTTTATTCTATCGGTTTTAAATCAGCGATGACTATATGCAAATAAACCTTATGTAGCTTTGGGTGAAAATTATAAAACACAGAAATAAGAGTTTATCATCTAAGTTTATATGACCTGTTCTTAGGTGTGTTTTTTTACCAGTACAGTGATTTTTTTATCTTTGTAATAGAACGAAATTTAGAGAAAGTTAAAAGAAATCCAAATTGAAAAGTCTTTAACACTTACTTTATACATTTTCGATTTTGACATTAGTATCCATATTACGTTTCTTTCCTAATCAAAAAGTTTGAATCGCTCTTTAGATCTAAGTTTACAGACTTACAACGCTAAAATCCGAGGTTCGATTCCCTGGACAAAGTGCAGGTCCCTCAATGTGTTATTTTGCGCTAAAACAAATAATATTTAGTGAACAACTTTGATATTATGGGGATATAACTACCGAATTATTTTGTCATAATTATTTAACGATGGCATTTAGTGGACATATCACATAAATTGTTTGTACTCAGTTGTCAATCAACCCAAATATATTCCAGGACAGTCAGTCTGTACATTAAATGTTACGTATACCAGTTCAAGTTCAGGTATAGAACAGTAATGGTTGAATAGACATCACCACATAATGTGTACTGAAATACATGATATACAACTAACTTGAAGCATAATTTCATAAACATCTCTAAGCTTCGTTTCCTTTTACCTTTTGTTATATATAGAAATATGTTATATTTGACCATATTAACTATTAATGGTTTCCTGATACTATGGTAAAGTTTTATAAATGACGTTAGAGAATTTTTTTTTTACTTCTCGCTTGTTTTCGATGTTTGTTTGTTTGTAATTAAGCACAAAGCTACACAATGGGTTATCTGTGTTCTGCCCACCACGGGTATCGAAACCCGATTTCTAGCGTTGTAAGTCCGCAGACATGTCGCTATACCACTGGGGGGCGCTTGTTTACGAAGCCACGTAAAATGAAAATTTAGAAAACATCACTTTCGTTTTAGAGTGATATCCACCTTACCAGATCCATTTAAAAAAAAGGAATTGAAGAAACTTATTATTGTAATTACATATAGCACTACAGCATTGTGTACATTGTAATCCTACTAATAAGTTACTGTCTAACAATTTTCATCAAAAACAGGTTACTAATAATTAATACTAATCCTAAAATTCTATCCTACATTGTG